AAATAAATAAAATAAATAAAGAACTTTACATTACACTTCTTTCAGCAAAATCCTAATGCTGGAATAGAAAAATATTCAGTTCCAGATTTAAATCCCTTTTCAAATTTGAAGTTATCAATGTGTAAGTAAGCAAGATAAAACTTGTTGCTTGAACGAATTCAACAAACGAGTTCTTTGAACTTCGAGAGTAGTATTTTAAAGTAAAAACTTTAGAGTACAGGAAGAGTTTTATCTTGCTTACTTACACATTGGTAACTTGAAATTTGAAAAGGGATTTAAACCTGGAGCTGAATATTTTTCTATTCCAGCAAAGGTTGACAAGCACACAGTTCACAGTTTTGTCATCCGTTTTTGAAGTTATTCTTGAAATGTGGAAGTTTTTTGCTGTTGACTCTTTTAGTACACGTTATTTATGCTTGGAATACCGGCGAAGAATGTATGGTTAGTTTAAAGTTTTTGAAGGGACATTACTAAATAGATAGACAAGCTTTAATTTTAGACAACAATGCTAAATGAGAGGTGATCTAAAAGATTTCACTGCAGACAAAGCTAATGCAAAAGTGATGAAAATGTCAAGAACACTATGGTTAGTTTCTTCCCACACTGTTTTTGAAGTTTAAAATGAAAAAAAGAGGATCCCGTTGTGTTCCCTGTGCGCGTGCACAATCGCACTCGATCTGGCATATGCCATTAGCAGATATCGTCTCTTTTTCCCTCGTCCAATCGGAAGCGTCCATTTTGGGTCATCCGGTAACCAATCCGTTGTCTGCCCCATGTGGTCACCGCTTCCCAAAACTAACCCCGGCTGTAGAATTGGCAAACCCAGTTCCGGCTCATTTTGGCCACAATGGTGGGTTCTCCGCCGGTCGAAATGGGATCCCAAGTGCCTGTAAAAGGGTGCTGAAGGGAGCCGCTGTGAATTTTTGGATTCATCCCAAGGATTTCGGTCCGCAGGGGCAGCAAAAAACTGATGAAACGACACTACAGGGTGAAACTAGTCAAACGTGACTAAAAATGCCAAAAGAATTAGCTGAAAATGTTGAACAGATGTTGAGATGCTGAGACAGATGATGAGATTGCTACAGAGTTGTTCTTTTTATAATTTTATTCAACTATCTTTTGTAATATATAGATTTTTGCAATTTTTTAAGCTTTTCAATGTAGAGTCTATTGATCTACAATCTTCAATCTATTGGGTTGTTGAGTTGAAAACTGCGGGACTTTCAACTAAAATTTATCCAACATAAAACCACCAATTCATTCCAAATAATTTCCACTATTATTGACGACTTCTGCCCATTTTACAGGCAATTTGCGGATTCCTCTTTCGTAGTAGGATTTTGGTTTGTGTGTGAGACAAGTGTGAGACTCAAAAATGGAGGACTGGAGATGTCCCAGTTTGAGCATTTGAGCACTTTCTTCAAAAGAAACCCATTTTGGTGTCAATAGAAAAGTTGTAGAGAATCAAAAATTAGGCTTATAGCCAAATTTCCAAATAGATACACTTAGTAGTTTCGCTTAAAATGCAAGTTTTGTGAAAATTTGGCATTTCTTGAAAACCAGTTTTTGAATCGTTCTGAAAATTTGGATATAAGCTTGATTTTTGATTCTCTACAACTTTTCCATTGACACCAAAATGGGTTTCTTTTGAAGAAAGTGCTCAAACTGTCACATATGACAATAGCCCGCAGTTTTCAATTCACCAACCCAATAAATTAGCTTCAATGGATGAATTTTTACTTTGAAATCTTGTATATTTTTGTATAACTTTATACAATTGCCACCTTTTCTATGTTTTTCTTCTCAAAACCAATAAAACGAGGAAAAATCGTTTACATAAGCTGATCGAAATGACGAAAAAACACTTCCAGACTTGGAATGCTTTGGCCTTTTCAATGTGCAAAAGTCAATACGTCATAATCTGTGAGAGGTTAGAGTAGAGAAATCCTCACAAATACAAAATACAGAAATACAATCGTCTATTTGCCTATGTTTGGAGAAAATGAAAGGGGAAAAGGAATCTCTTCTCTCTCTCCCTATTGAAAGGCCTATTTGCATTACAAACTTTAAAGAGTTTCCCCCTTTATAAGGCCAAAAAATCAGAGAGTCAAATTAGTCAAAAAAGCTACAGAAATGACCGTTTCTTATAATTTTACTGTATCAAATTCGGGGCTTTTAACTTGGATTCGTTTGACGTTTAAGTGGAAAGGATCAATCTGGAAATCGGTGAGTTGTGAGATTTGTTGCTTTGCTGATCAAGAAATACAGAATTCTAGTTATAACTTTTATAACACAAACCGAAAATTCAGGTTTGGGCCGAACTTGCCTTTTGGCTCATTCTTTACTATGCGGTTCTTCTTTTGTATCATCTTGGATTGAGTGGTGATCATCAAAGGTACTAAAATTTAAATCTGAAACTTTTTGACTATGAAAAGTTTAGACATTTCGATGAATTTGCCACCTATTTAAATACGAATGTCGAGAGATTACCACTCATTTTCATGCTTGGTTTCTTTGTGACTTTTGTTGTGAACAGATGGGAGAAAATCTATCAGAATTTGGGATGGATTGAAGAGTTTGTTTGAATCCGATTTCCTTAATTTTTCTTCTTAAGCACAGCTCTATTGATCTCAACTTTGGTGCATGGAGATGATGAAGAGACAATATTAGCGAGAAGAGCTATTGTTAGATATATTTGTGTTGGGCAGGTAAGTCAAATTGAGAGCATTGTGGTCCCAGAGTGCACCAGTAGTCCAAGTAGCTCCCAGAGTGCATTGTGGTGCAATTGTTATCACAGTTGCCTGGTAAGCGAAAGGTCACGGGTTCGAGTCCCGGTTGCGCACGAATTTTTGATCTGTCCTTTTTGATCTGCCCTTTTTGATCTCCTAGTTCCAACTCCCAATAAAGTCGATCCTTTAGTTAATGGTTTTTCGAGACATCTCCATTCGTTGCCGAAGAAGATTTCCGACAATGGAGTCACTCGTGGATGCTGGTGGGGATTACAATAGATTTGGATTTGAGTGGTTGTCTCATTGCTAGTACTTCGTTCATTACATAAATACTAGGCTGTCTACATGATTTACATGACAAAAATCATAAATAAGCAGGGTTTTGTTCATTTTGTGTGAGATTTTCCTCGTAAACGATGACTGGAGATTGAAAGACATCTTTTTGAGCAATTTGATGCAAAAATTTCCCAATCATCTTTCAATATCACTTCCAAAACCACAAAATTAGATCGCGCGCAGGGCTAGGTGCGACTCCCAACTTTGAGAGCTTTTTTGAAAAATTTGTGACCTCCTATCGGTTAGATAATGGGCACCGCTACAGGAGAGCCACTCAACATTTACCTGTAAAATTTTTGTGGGTATTTTTGTGGGTTTTGGTTATCTTTTGACTGAGCTACACTTTCCAGAGTGATTATGAGTAATTATGACACATCCTATAGAAAATCTTTTCGTTTCTTTTCATACTTTCGTTAAAATATAACAAATTTATCAATTAACCGGTTTATTCTGAAGAAAAAGTGTTTATTGTTCAATTTCCGATCTTTTTAAGTCGATTTGGGTTCACTTTCAAGCAAAAAGATGGGAAATTGAACAATAAACACTTTTTATTTAGAGCAAACCATCGGTTAATTAGTGAATTTGTTATTTTTCAATAGAAGTATGGAAAGAAATGAAAAGACTTTATGAACAGCTTAATAAATTAAAAACCAAAACTCTAGGTTATCTTGAAAAAGCTGAACTTCACGAGATTGAATCCTTCCCAATGAAATTCAATAAATATTGGCTACCATTCAACTGGTCTCTTGCCATAATTTATCAACAAAGAGTCCGAGAGAAGATTCCGGGAGATCCATCATTGCAAAGCTGTGTTCAGGTTGGTATCAGTCTTTATTTGAACCCTTAAACCATTCCTTCACGAGATTGAATCCTTCCCAATGAAATTCTTTAACTTTAATGTCACTCAAGCATTCAATGTGAACGATCTCATTGATTTAGGAAGTGAAACGCTTTCGTGACAACATGCAATGGCTGAGTAACTATGATTGGGTTCCCATTCCACTTGCATACCCACAGGTGAAACTTTGTGAACTTTGTGAAGCCTGTGTTTTACTCGATCTATCAATTCAAAGAATAGGTTGTGTTTTTCGCTGTTCGTGTCTATTTCTACTTGTGTCTCATAGGAAGACAATTCATCATTTCCACGCAACAAGATCAGGTGAATTGGAAAAAGGGAAAATAACATTTAATTGTAGTATCTGAATATTTGGTTCCCGCTCACCACTTGTCTGCAATTCGTTTTTTATATTGGATGGATGAAGGTAAAGGAAGTGAAAACCAAAAATGTCTAGGTTACCTCAAAATAAATCAATGAGCTGCTTCCTCATAGTTAATCGATCTATATGAGCTTTAATTTAAGTCTCAAGCAGAAAAGTTCAGAACCGATTGGTAGTCCAAGTCTGAAAGGATACAATCTTTCAGATAATCAATCGACACTAAAGCAAAGAGTTGATAATTCATGAAACAAGGTATCGCAAAGCTTTAGGTAGCAGAGACCCTTCTGAACCCAATGGGAGAAGATGATGATGACTTTGAGACGACTTATCTCGTTGACAAGAACATTGCGGTAGGTCTATTGTTCAAGATACCATTCTAGATCCGATGGTTTGAATTCGGACCTTCGGGGGTCTGAATTAGGTCCTAAAACTACTAAACTCAATAAAGAATAGCTCCAATCGATTCCCCGAGCCCGAAAACCGCAGGGTACAAATTTACAGCTCATTAGCTTCTTTTTGTGCCATCTACAAAGTGAAAGAAAAATCCCTGTAAATGACTGGCGAGGCGTTCTTAGTGCGGTGTGTAATTGCTCTCTCAAATCTCTCAGTGATAAGGGGTTTTGACTACTCTCAGTGGTCAACGAGTGCGCGGTTTTTCCCGGGGTCACTATACCCCAATTGGGATGTAGTTAAAACATTGCCGTCAAATTCCTCACAATCCAAAAAACCAAGCCGGTTTCAATTTACCAAAAAAATTCCCTGCATGATGGGTGAAACGGTTTTTCAAAAACGTTAATATTTCATGATAAAAGGAGCGCTCAAAATTTGTGTCGAGCGAGATTTAATTGGTTAACTCTCGACACAAATTTTGAGCGTTCTTTTTATCTATGAAATATCTATGAAAACTGTTTCACCCCTCATGTAGCCAAGAACTCAAGGAATTATTTTGGTATAAAACTTGAATCGGCTTGATTTTTTTTAGATTGTGAGGAATTTGACGGCGCTGTTTTGAACGTTTTCGATTCGGCGCTGTTTTAACTACACTCCTCCAAAATTTAGCTGAATTTTTGCTACAAATTTCACATATCTCCAAACCAAAACTAGCTGAAACGACCTGAAAAGCTGATTTCATCTTTTAATACCTGATAAACGATTGATAAACCGATTTACTTTAATAATTTCTACAGAAGACTTTTTCAAAAACTTATATTGCTTCACCTACTTGCTGGTAATTTGGTTTGAGTGAGAATCGGTCTCGATTAACAATTAAGATGCTATAAAGAAAACTATAAAGAAAGAAAGCTATAAAGAAGACTGTTTTAGACAGCAATGGCTATTGTTGATGATACCTCTCAGAAACATCCACCATTAATCAAAGATCGATTTAAGGTAAGAGCACTTTTGCATTTAATCAATCCCGTAATTCAGAACATTCGAAACGCTCAAATAGCCATTGATGGCTTTGATGAAGATCCTGTTGGAACACTAGCTCATTTGAAGTTTGTCTTGCAAAAGTAAACATTACGAAAGATTTTAGATTACCAGATCAAAATGATAAGCACTTCTCTTCAAGGCTCGACTCATTGAGAGCTTCACTTCGAAGTTTGACTCATAAAATTCATTCGGGGAGCGAGCAAAACACAAATAAACTGGGTAAGAAGTCAACTTTGATGTTATCCTTGAAAAAACAAGAGCTATTTTTCCTTACAGTGATTAGACAAAAAATTGTAGTCAATTACTAAATTTCCCTTTTTGTAGCTTCTTTTTCAGATTCACCTTTGCCTATATAATGCCACTTCAAAGAATCCACAAGACGGGTATTTTATGTACATATTCTAATTACCAAAGCTTTTGTTTTTTGTATTTGTGAGTGCATTTCCTTGCAAATAAACGGATTTCTTCATGGAAATGATGTCAATTTCCACACCACAAAAATATTTTACCTTCACAATAATATTTTTAGCTTACCGTTTACAGATCGTTCAATTTAATGACACTAGATTATTGCGCAACTGATCACAAATGCAAATTTCCGGTTTGATTGCTTCAATCTATCAGCTTTTCTCTTTTTGCTTACGTAGGAATGATTAACCGCAAATAAGGTTATTTTTGGGGAATTCGTTTTTGAGCAAAGATTCAAGACTTTTTTTTTGATTCAAGTCCTCAACTCTCAAATAATAAGTCAGCATAAATGGCTGATTCAAGAACTGACAAGCATAAATGACTAATGATTGATTCAAGAACTTTATCTATACTTTGTCCTGGAAGCTTAAATCAAGTTGCTATTAAATTAGTATTGTGAAAGTGTTAGAGTAAGCAGTTTTGATATGTTGACCTCATTGTCACCAATAATTCGGTTCCTTCTCTCCCTAAAACAAACCCTTACCTCCACCTTCACTTCCTATTGCCAAACTAACTTCCGGTAACAAGCTTTGTTAAAGTTATGATGTGTGAGTTTTTTTACTTCACTCCAGGTGAATCGAAGTCCAACAAAGCAATTATTGAACCAAACTGAGGAATGAGCAGTGAAAGGAGAAGGAAAGAAGAGGGAAAGAAGAACACTCACCGTAATTGAAGGTGGGATTGAAGGGAGAGAACCGCCCACTTATGTCCATTTATTTCACCTGGTTTTAGGGAATTCTTTCAGTTGATAAACTTTCAGTTTTTTTTTGCAAATGATACTCAAGAATTGAAAAGAATCTCCTAGTTTTGAGTTTATTTGAAAGAAACTTATTTGAGAGAGACATTCGTTTCTTGCGGTAATCCGCAAGAAACGAATGTCTTTGGCTTTACTAAAACTTTCTTTGACAAATTCTTGAAACTTTGTAAAGCTCTAAAACAAATCCACATTCTGAAAACATTCTGAAAACATTCTGAAAGTGGTGATTTTGAGTGATTAGATAATTCTGGATAATCTTTTGATCATTTCTCCTAAAGTTGTTGGTTCTTCACTCTTGAATATTATAAAATGAAGAATTTGGATATTTGGGTAAATTTGCGGATATATCATTAAAGTCTATGCATTTGTGAGCCTATAAATTTGAGCCTTTAAAACTTTTGATCTCATTTTACTAGCTGATGTTTGTTTCAATTCTCTTCTCCAATTGTTTAAAATGGTCAAATGTCTCTCAAAGCTCAAATCAAATCAAATAAACACTCCTCGTTGTCCCATTTTCCATTTCTTTTTCCAATTTGCGCCCGATTTTGCTTTTTTTGGGCTTCCGATTTCATTTCGTTCGTTTATTCGTTTCTACAAAAGCCTCGTTAGGAGACAAGGTACAAAAATTCGACGAAAAGTGATTTAAAGAAAAGTTTACGGAGAACAAAACATCAGAAAACATTTCTCATTCGCAGAAATGACGATACTGCTTCAGTTCAGACATTTCGACCATTTCTCGATCTTTCTCCATTTCTCTATCTCTATCTAAGCTTTGCCTTTTGAGTACAATCATCAAATACCCAATCATCAAATTTCAGACCCAGAATATGCTGGAATTCCTTCAAATCGCCTTGCCTTATCTCCCATTCTTTCTCCTATTGCCAACGATTCTCACCTCTACCCTCTTACTCTTTCTCATTGCTTTCGGAGCTCCGAAATTCATGAAAATCTACTCTGTCATACTCGCTGTTTACATCATCGCCAATTTGCTCACTGCCACCACTTTTGCTATTATTCAACCAAGGTAAACTTTTCACAAAGTAAAAGTGCTAAAACTGACACAAAGTTTACAAAAAAAAGATTCTAAGAATATATTTTATGATTTTTGAAACCGTTTTAATTAACAAAAATATAATATGAAATCCCAGGTGAAAAGCGTTAATGATTGTTTTTTTTGAAAGATATCTTTCATTGAATTGAGTCATATGTGCGGGGTTTTTTGTAGGAGAAAAAAATTGGGAAAGGGGTTCGTGATTTGAATGTCACGCAATGGCATTTTTAATTTTTAATGAGAAGAAAAAGGAAAAAATTTCTAGGAATGAAACAAAAACTGAGAAAAAGTAGTTTGGAATAACAACTGTGAATTGTCTAGAATATACTGTAGGCGTGGGAAAAGCTGTGCGAAAATAAGGTGACCGGGGGTGTTCAGTTTCTGCTGGTCAGCGGTGATCGGTCTTCTAAGCCAAGCCAAGGAAAGTAAGGCCAAGAGGCTCACTTGGTTTTGGCTTTAGCATGAGCTTACACTGAAAAGGGAGTGCCAAATGACACAAGTCATAGACGATTCGACACAGAATTTCACGCTGATTGCGAATCTGTTTTTTGCTTTTGAAACGCAGCACTCTGTCAAAAGTTCTAAGCGCTCAAGGTTTTGTATGGAATTGTGAGACAATCTTTGATCAAGCCAATCCAGCTAACTATAAGGTTTTAGCCAACTATTAGGTTGATGAATGTCTTTTTGTTCCTTTTCATACTTTCGTTGAAGAATAACAAATTCACCAATTAATCTATGGTTTATTCCATTAGAAAGGCCAAGTTTTCTGCAAAATAAAATTAAAACTTTAGAACCCCCTGAAAGCAATGTTTCATCAAACTGTCTTGCAGATTTTAATGATAAAATCAACTAACTGATCAATGAAATAACGAACTTCCTCCTTTGATCAACCCAATTCCAGACTGTACCTCTACAATGACGGCCATCTCTTCTCCACTCGTTTATCCCTTTCTGGATCGATTCTCTTCGCACTTCCCATTCATTTACTTCACTTTACAATACTTATTCTTCTCTACATTTTATTTGTCCGTTTTCTTGCTCTCCGAGGAGTTCTAATCAATCAACGAGCGGCTCTGATCTCTGTTTTCGCCTTATACTTCACTGTCCCCATTGGATTGTTGGTGAGTCAAAAGAATGTTGGCTGATCTTTGTGGCTCGAGTTTCAATTTATTGATAAGGAAGTTCTGTTTTAATGATAAGGAAGTATTGTTCTTAAGATTATCTCAAGTCGCTTTGAGCTTAAATCAAATCAAACAGCAGTTCCAAACAAAAAAGTTCCAAATTTCCATTAGACTCAGAAATCCCCAAGTTTGAAACCAAAGTTAAGTTCTATTTCCATATCAAATTTTAGCTTGCTGTCAGCAGTGTGGACACAGCGTCGATTGAAGTTGAAGGAAAAACCCTGAATCTATTTGTGATGGATAGCTTTTGGTTAGTTTTACACTTTCAAAAACTCAATTATTCTTTTCCAGCTAATCTTTAGCGTTCAGCAGATAATAACAATCAGACTTATTTTTATTTTATTTCGAGAAAAGCTACTGATTTCCGGGCTTTTTAACTAGGAAATTGGGTACCATGAGCTGGTTTTGAAACTAGACTTGAACACGAAAATTACAAATGAAAATACAATTTTTCAAAGAACAAAGCAAACCTGATACCAGTCATAATTCGTCTGATACCATCCTGTTTATCCAACTATTCCTTTCCAGGGATTGTCTCTTCACAGAAGCTTCCATTTTTCTCCCGATCTTCTGGGCCGTCGTATCGATTATTCTCAATTTCTCGGCGAATTCCATCGTTTTCTCAAGAGAGATCTCTCTCGGATATGTTCATCGAGTGCTTATTTGCAAGAAAATGGCTGAGGTGGAGAAAAGGCTGATAATAAAAGTATTACAAATAAGAAATTGATTCTGTGGGAGTAGAAAGTTGAAGATTTTTGGTTTTTAGTAACGTTGACATTTGAAAAAAGTAGAAAAAGTTCATTGTCTTGAACTTAGCTTTCGACTACTAAACTAACTGAATATTTTCAAAGAAGAACCAAATTTGAACAAGTTTCTAGTAAATTATGAAGTATGAAGTAAACAAATTATGAAGTAAACAAATTTTCAGTCAATCATGTATCAAATCCTCATCGTCTCATTGTGTATTTCGGGGAGTGGATGGATTGTCCGTATCTTTCCCCAATTCGATCGATGGACATCATTTTGTCTCCCCATTTCTCTATCAATTTTCTTTGCCTTAAGCCCACTCCATTTTGTTTTCACTATTCGTCCATTTCATGAAAAATTGGAAAAGATTTTGGGTAGACGATATTCTGAAGATGTTGGAAAATCAATTTCGATCACTTTTGATACATCAGATTCTAGGAATAGCTCAAATTCAAATCCCCCAATTTCGTAAACTTTTTTATTTGTTTTTATGTGAATTCATGCATACTTTCACTGGTTAAATTTATAGTTACGGGTAAACAATGTTTTGATAAATGTTTTATAAAGATTTGCAAAGGATTTCACAAGAAAAGTCAAAAAAGAACCAAATTTGGACAAGTACTCAGTAAATTATCAAAAAATATCCAATTTCCAGGAAAAAATCAAATCCCGATTGAAAAAAGAAGCTGCAGAAGAAATAATTTGCAAAGTATTGGGTTGGTGAATTGAAAACTGCGGGCTATTGTCATATGTCAGAGTTTGAGCACTTTCTTCAAAAGAAACCCATTTTGGTGTCAATGGAAAAGTTGTAGAGAATCAAAAATCAAGCTTATATCCAAATTTTCAGAACGATTCAAAAACTGGTTTTCAAGAAATGCCAAATTTACGAATTTTCACAAAACTTGCATTTTAAGCGAAACTACTAAGTGTATCTTTTTGGAAATTTGGCTATAAGCCTAATTTTTGATTCTCTACAACTTTTCTATTGACACCAAAATGGGTTTCTTTTGAAGAAAGTGCTCAAACTGGGATCTCTAGTCTCCATCTCCAGTCCTCCATTTTTAAGTCTCACACTTGTCTCACACACAAACCAAAATCCTACTACAAAAGAGGAATCCGCAAATTGCCTGTAAAATGGGCAGAAGTCGTCAATAATAATGGAAATTATTTGGAATGAATTCATGGTTTTATGTTGAATAAATTTTAGTTCAAAGTCTCGCAGTTTTCAATTCACCAACCCAATAATTGCAACTTATTGTTTTTCTTGATTGAATTAGTTGACACATTTACATTTATCATTAGAAAGGCCATAAAGATGGTCGATGTATGTGCATTCCTTCAATTCTTGCTTGTTCCCAAGATCGTTTCTGACGAGAATTTGTTTTGGGAAGGCTAAATAAACCTTGTTGGTATTGGTCTAAAGATTGAAAACTGATTTGAGTTTTAAATTCAACTTAGAATGAAGCCAAATCCGGTTATTTATCGAGAGTAATGAATTTGCAATGACTTACGCAGTCGTTGCCGTTCCAATAAAAACACACAAAAATAGAAATATTGCTGTGAAGTTCATAATAAAATTTATAATTGAGTAGAAGAGCTAAAAAACTGAAAGTTCGGGTTGTTTTTCAAGTTTTCCAAGTCTGCCCTTTGTTTGTGTGTTGGAAAGTTTTCTTTTCACCTTTTATTTTCAACGATCACCTATTCTTTTCAAAGATATCATGACCAAAAGAAATTTTTTCGTTTTTTCACGAGATAAACAAGGTTTCCAGAAAAGATTTATTAAGTTAAAGTGGTTTATTTATATCCTATTTTCTAGCACAATCTTCATGCACACAAAAATAGAAAACCCATCACCAAAGTCACGTCTTTTTTGAGCACAAATCGCTTGAATGTTTTTCGAACAAAAGCCAAAATCGCCAGCATTGTTATAGTAATTATTGATATTGTTTACTAAAGTAATTACTGATATTGATGTATGATTAACAGCAGAACTTATAGTTAGGTAGGTAAAGATATTGCTTGTCCTATGTCGAAAAGCTTTGGTTTAGAAACCGGGTGTCAATTTAGCAATCCAGCTCCGGCTCCGGCAAAACTAACGTTACAACAGCCAGCAAGACCCTTCACAGGATTTGCTGATGTACGCCATTTATCGCATTGGTTTAGATAACGAAGGAAAAACAACCCTGACGGTTCGGTTGCACATGAGAAATCTGAAACTATCTTTATCATCTTTATCAAATAATATCTTTATCAGAGAATTGACTAAAATCTTTCTATTCCTGTCTATTTGTTTTTCACAAAAATTTTTTTTATTTGCTTGCTTGCAAAACAGCGAAAAAAGTCTTTCAAAAACACTAAATTTTAAGAAGTTTTGAAGACTTTAATAGTATCTTTAATAGAATAGAATAGACTTTTATAGAATTCTATGAAATCGGTTTTTATTAGAATCTGAAAGTTATAGAATTCTATGAAATTTCGGGTCTTGCTGGCTGTTGTAACGTTAGTTTTGCCGGAGCCGGATTGCTGAATTGACACCATGAACCTGAAAGTTTTGGTGGCAAATGTCAACAGATGTTAGAGCTATTAGGTTATAAATTAAATAACCGAACTTTTTGGAATAGGAAGGTAAAGAGCAATTGAGAAAAGAGCGGAATGAGCCTCAGCAGCTTCAGAATACGGTTGAAGAGTCTTTTTCTCTTTCTCTTAGTCTCTTAGTTTTCTCTTAGTTTTTCACATTTTCAGTAAAATTATCAGCCAAATCCGTCTAGCATGTACAGGTAGTCTAAAATACCAAACGCAAAAACTTACCAATTTGACAAGTTTTTCAACAAGAATTGGTTTTACCTTTTTTACCTAAAATAAAGACATAGATCTTTCATATTTTCAGTAAAACTTTCAACCAAATGTGTTCAGCCGTTTTTTCTGAATTTTGGTTTGAACAAAAGTCCACAAATAAAGGATTTTAATCATATGAGGCGCTCTGAATAACTTGAAATTTGTAGAAAACGGCTGGATGGATTTTACTGGAAATTTTACTAAAAATATAACAGTGATTGCTTTCTTTCTTTGGCATAGGCAAAGTTAGTATCAATTCCCATCAAAAAAAAGTTGCCAACCGTTGATTCTCGCCAATTTTGCCTACTCGCCTTTGTACTCCCGAAAAACCCCAAAAGCGAAAGCTTTTCTAAATTGCCAACAACCATTTTGCAGAGGAAATATAAATCTTTCCAATGGTGCAAATCGTACTTCAGTTGGTGCATTCTACATTTGTAAAAGTTCATTTATTTAGTTGACAACCTAAAACATATTTTAAATTATGCAAGACAATGGATTTTAGCTCTGAAGCTCTGAAATAAAAAGCTGCTGAAATAAATAGCTAAAGATGAATCTTCCGATTCATCTTTCAGCTTCTTTCTTACAGTTTTTCCTTCGCCACATCGAGGACCAGCGATTTTCCCAAGCACCCAATTTTAAATCAGATTTAAAATCGCTATGCAAATTTTCAGTGGCTCAACTTTTGAATGGCGATTTAGGCGAGGTAAAGAGCAATTGAGAAAAGAGCGGAATGAGCCTCAGCAGCTTCAGAATACGGTTGAATGATGATGTGCACTTCAATGAATTTTGAAGCAACCAAAAACTTTTAGCTCTTACCGTAAATACTGTGAGAGCTTGAATAATGTTGCGTGGCAAGGATTTTTTTGGGCGTACCTTCGAAGCCTTTAATAAGAATCTCAAAAGCATTCTACAATTTGTCTAAAGAAATTCTTCATAGAAAATTATTGCAATTTTCATAATGAAAAGGAATTAAACCGGTTAGCAAAGCGACAGCCAAGATTTAGCCTTAAAACCTGTGAGGCGATAATTTGACGTCACTCTGTATATTTGTAAAATTTGCCAAAAGTTTATTTACACAGAATCATACAAAATCAGTATACAAATAAAAGAATATGCTGTACAAAGAGTTTTATTTTAGGTTGTGATCGTGCTGACATCAAAGAGGACAAAGAAGACAAAGAAGAATTATCTCTTCACTGACCAATCGTCTCTGAAACTTCCAATAATTAAAAACAGTCTAAATTGAATAATTATCATCGAACATCGATTGAATTTCAATGATCGATTGAATCAATGAAAAACTTGAACAAACTTCGGCTCTCGAACCACTCGGCTTTTTCCTTCCGAACGATGTTTGCTGGAAAAATCGTTTTCTATCGCAGTCTGATTTAACTAATTGTTTATTAGTTTATAGTTTATATTTATTATCGTTTCAAGTTTCTATTCCTAACTATAAGCAAAGAGTTGAACTCACTCGCCGTCACCCATCGCCATTGCCAAAAACAAACAGATCAGAAAAAGGACACGAATCACTTGCATTTCAAGCCGCTGCAATATTTTGAGCGAAACAAGGTAGTTAGTTAGTTAAATATGTTTCACCAAATCCGAACGCTTCCCTCCCCTCCATCCCAAGGTCATTCTCGTTTTGTTTATTCGAAAAACACAAATTTCTCTGATAAGAGATGAGATTTTCTCCTTTTTTGATTTTTTTTTGATTGATCTCATTTGCCGTGTGATCCAAAAATGTATAACTTTACAGAAAATGTTTATTTAATTTTAAATCATAATGGTTGTAAGGAAGCTCTGGTAGAAATAAGAGTTGAAGCTCTCAAAACTCGCCCATTTTGTTCTTTTCGAGGCGGCCAAGTGAAGAGAATGGTAACCAAGCTGAAATAAATGATTAGCTGATTAGAATTAGAAAGATAATTAGAATTTTCTTGATTAGTTTCTAATAGCTTCTTTGAGATTACCTTGAAATCGAATTGCCAAGCACATGATTTGTTTCATAAACAATAAAAACGATGATTGGTGGAGCTCCATCGGTGAGAAAGGCAAAGAAACGAAATTGTAAAATATAGTCGACTTCAAGAAAGTTATATGCAGCCCAGATAAAATTTGTGGTAATCAGCTAGATATCAACTTGTATAAGATATCAACTTGCAAATTTTGCTTACCAAAATCGTCAATCGAAAGTAGGCTCGTCTCTTTTGATCGGATGATCCCTGAAGTGAGCTTTGAACTGTAGAAATCTTGTTACTTACGAATTTTCGAATCTTCCATAGCATTAATAAATCAGAAATGAGTGCTAAGCCCATAATCACAAGAGATGTAATGGCTAAGATGACATTTAGTTGAAGAAAGACTTCATTTCCTTCATATTCGAGAACATTGATCAGATCTAATGGAGAGAAATAATAACCACCATAACAGATATAACCCGTGTTGGCAAGCGGAGCTAAAATTGTTGATTATCTTCAATTTCTTCGTTCTTAAATCACCTCGATTAATTTGCACTCCTTTAATGATGGAAACGGCGAAGAAAACGAGAAGACAATAGGGAACACAACAGCGCTCGGCGAACCAATAAAAATTCCCATCAAAAATCACTGCAAAAAGGCTGAAGAGAGATTATTTTGAAGAAAAACACAAACCGAATCACGGAAAAGCCGTGATTGATGAATTCGGACTTCTCCGAGAATATTGCATTCAAAATCTGATTGACGAGAATACCAGGGAGATTTCCTTCAGTCGTGACACAATGCCAGCTGAAAGTATGCTTTTCTTTTCCTAAATATTAGGTGTGTGAAAAAGTAATCCACGTTTTTGATTTTTATTTTGTTTAAATAAATATATCTAAACAATTATTAATTTTTTGTTAACGATATATATCGTTTAAAAGCTTATTTTTTCCTCTTTCGAATGATATATTCATTTTGTTAAAAGGACGACAATAAACTACCTTCATTTTAGTTTGAAAATGGTATACACAAGTATCGTTATTCGGTCAAATTTGCTTTATGAGTTCAAAAATGGGTTGAAAGCTGCGGAGGCTGCACGTCGAATTCGGAACGCGTTTGGCGAAGACGCCGTTATTGATGATACCGCTAGGTTTTGGTTCCGACGATTCAAAGGTGGTAATGAAAGCCTAGAAGATGAACCACGTGGCGGTCGCCCTGAGACCTGTTCTGATGACCAGATAAGACGCTGTCTTCTCGAAAACCCTCGTTCAACCTCTTCAGAAATAGGTCTTACATTAAATTGTGATGGATTAACCGTAAGGAAACGCTTGAATGTCATGAGTTTTTTATTTAACGAAACTTATGGTCTATTATATTTAAACGTTAAAAACGTGGATTACTTTTTCACACACCTAATATAAACAAACTGTTTATACTCACGTTAATACGCAAGAAGCCGAATAAAAATCAACAATTGCTGTCGAGATTTTACAGCATTCATCAAAGATGAACAAGAATTTGACATATTTGGAGAGATTTGGGTTTTTCGTTAATGCAAATATACAGAATAGACTGAGAACAGTGATCAATAAACCACACTAGAATGCTCTTGTTTTGGGAAAACTCTTCAACAAACTAAAGCAAAAAGAATCGGCACAATGACTTCATAGTTTTTATTAAGATCTGAACGAACGGGAAGACCATTCCATTTATAGGCGAGAGTATCTGGATAATCGAACATCAAAGCACGCTAAAGATTCACCGTTTTTCTTGCAGAAGCTTTCAAATTACCTCATTATCACATCGTAAAAACTTGCTCAAATTCTGATTTCTCATAGCCGTATCTTCGTCTTCATATTGTCCATCATAAACATAGTGATAGTAATAGTAATAAACATGATCGTAAACGTCTTTCACTCTTTTCACAGAATTTTTCATTAAAGGTTTCTTTGGTTGAATGCTGAATAAGATTGTTTAAAGCACTGTAAATCGACAAACATTTGCAGAAAATTCTCGCAACATCCTGGCTGAGATGGACTGGATGACATTCTGCTCTGGTATTGAGAAACTAAATTTGCTTTGCTATTTGCTAAATAGATTGAAGATTATAGATCAATAGATTCTAGATTGAAAAACTTAAAAATTGTTTTGCTGTGAATAGTTTGAACAAAAATTTGAACAAATAAGAGTTCCAGGCTTTCGACATTGAAAAAAAATCGCTCAAGGAGAGGCTTGGGAGTTCTGTAATGCTTGCGAATCACAGCTTGTCTCCATCAAATCGCAACCGGAAGATGAATTTGTGTTCAGTACGAGAGTTCATTGGTCAAAAAGAGTTCAAATTCAGAAGTGGCATTCAATATACCGAAAATCACAAAGATCTGGTTGGGATTTACCTATTTTGTAAGTTGTCAAGCTAAAATGTACCTACCGTAAATACTGTAATATTGGGTTGGTGAATTGAAAACTGCGGGCTATCGTCATATGTGCCAGTTTGAGGACTTTCTTCAAAAGAAACCCATTTTAGTGTCAATGAAAAAGTTGTAGAGAATCAAAAATCAAGCTTATATCCAAATTTTCAGAACAATTCAAAAACTGGTTTTCAAGAAATGCCAAATTTATGAATTTTCACAAAACTTGCATTTTAAGCGAAACTACTAAGTGTATCTTTTTGGAAATTTGGCTATAAGCCTAATTTTTGATTCTCTACAACTTTTCTATTGACACCAAAATGGGTTTCTTTTGAAGAAAGTGCTCAAATGCTCAAACTGGGACATCTCCAGTCCTCCATTTTTGAGTCTCACACTTGTCTCACACACAAACCAAAATCCTACTAAGAAAGAGGAATCCGCAAATTGCCTGTAAAATGGACAGAAGTCGCCAATAATAATGGAAATTATTTGGAATGAATTTGTGGTTTTATGTTGAATAAATTTTAGTTGAAAGTCCCGCAGTTTTCAACTCAACAGCCCAATAGATTGAAGATTATAGATCAATAGGTTCTACATTGAAAAGCTTAAAAAATTGCAAAAATCTATATATTTTGAAAGATAGTTGAATAAAATTATAAAAAGAAAACCTCTGTAGCAATATTTATCCGAGTTCCAGAAGTTTTTAGCTAAAGTTTTCTGGGCTCTGATCGATTAGAAGGTGCTTAATTTATAGTTTTCGGTAATTGTTAGCTATCTATGGGGAATTGAAGAAAGGATTTCACAAAACTCCCACAAAGTTCTACAAGTTCCATAGTTGGCATCTTGAAATGCGTAACAAGACAAAAATTAAGCCCAATAATTGCAAGCTCTGCTAGCCCACGCTCATCAAAAAGCAATTTTCTATTTTAAGATCCTGTAGGAAAACAACTTTCTTAACTCTACTTTTTACATAGGATTCTTGCTTTGAACTATGAGATTTCTAGAATTCCAGGAAGTAAATTTCCATAGTTTACATTCTTTGTTAGATAAAGAAGCCAAAAACTCACTGTTGATTTTTATCAAAGTCTTTTCAGACGAGCAAACATCTCCCTGAAAGTTCCAAAGTTTTAAAATTTTCCGCATCTACTTCTTCAGAAATTAAAATGAAGTACATTACTGATTTCCTTTTCGGTTGAATGTGTACGCAAACAAGCTACAATTTTCACTTTAATAAAAGGCTTGCAAAGCATCTTCCCTGTTTCCGTTACTGAAAATCTTTAGCCTTTTCCGTCAAAGAACGGAGTTCAAATGTATAGCTATCGATAAACTATACAATTTGTTTACTTTTAACGGTCATAAGCTAAAAACAGTAAAAACTTTTCCAAAATCACCCATCAATTAAAACCCACACCACCCACATCACTAAAACCCACACCACTTCGAAATATTTAATCCATTCTCATCAGCCAATTTTTTTGCATGACTTTTGACTGTTTGAAGCGGAGTTTATAAGATGGCGTCTGTCCCTATCAGCCAACCTCGACAAAAGTCCCATTTTTATTCGCTTTTTCGGTCTCTTCTGCTGCTGGATCACATGCTGAATTCCTGCTTTTGGAATTTGACGCTGATTAGCAATGATTAGCTGATTAGCTGATCAGCAAGCAACGACATCCTGGATTTGTCCTTGTTGAAAGGAAGTCAATCTTTTCTAATTGGTCATCCCGTACCTGATAATTTAAAATTAATAAATACAAAAGTAACAAAATAACAGTAAATCACTAAATCAACAAAAATATCTTTCAATTAAAGCAAAGACAACTATTCAAAACAACGTTTTCACACGAATTGTTAAGGGTATCCCGACTTTTGGGACGGCCTCTTTTAAAATGTACCTTTTTAAAGCCAGTTAATCTCTTCTACAATTATAGAAATTTTCATGTGTCGTTTCATCAGTTTTTTGCTGCCCCTGCGGACCAAGATCCTTGGGATGAATCCAAAAATTCACAGCGGCTCCCTTCAGCACCCTTTTACAGGCACTTGGGATCCCATTTCGACCGGCGGAGAACCCACCATTGTGGCCAAAATGAGCCGGAACTGGGTTTGCCAATTCTACAGCCAAAGTTAGTTTTGGGAAGCGGTGACCATATGGGGCAGACAGCTTTCACAAACCAACCGGGGGGGGGATTTTTGTTTTTACGGTCATTGGTTACCGGATGACCCAAAATGGACGCTTCCGATTGGAGGAGTGAAAAAAGAGATGATATCTGCTAATGGCATATGCCAGATCGAGTGCGATTGTGCCGGCGCACAGGGAACACACTGGGATCCTTTTCATTTTAAACTTCAAAAACAGGTGGGAAGAAACTAACCATAGTGTTCTTGACATTTTCATCACTTTTGCATTAGCTTGTCTGCAGTGAAACTTTAGATCACCTCTCATTTAGCATTGTTGTCAAAATTAAAGCTGTCTATCTATTTAGTAATGTCCCTTCAAAAACTTTAAACTAACCATACATTCTTCGCCGGTATCCAAGCAAAATAACGTACAAAAGAGCAACAGCAAAAAACTTCCACATTTCAAGAATAACTTCAAAAACGGATGACAAAACTGTGAACTGTGTGCTTGTCAACCTTTGCTGGAATAGAAAAATATTCAGCTCCAGATTTAAATCCCTTTTCAAATTTCAAGTTACCAATGTGTAAGTAAGCAAGATAAAACTCTTCCTGTACTCTAAAGTTTTTACTTTAAAATACTACTCTCGAAGTTCAAAGAACTCGTTTGTTGAATTCGTTCAAGCAACAAGTTTTATCTTGCTTCCCGTTGTGTTCCCTGTGCGTGTGCACAATCGCACTCGATCTGGCATATGCCATTAGCTGATATCGTCTCTTTTTCACTCGTCCAATCGGAAGCGTCCATTTTGGGTCATCCGGTAACCAATCCGTTGTCTGCCCCATATGGTCACCGCTTCCCAAAACTAACCCCGGCTGTAGAATTGGCAAACCCAGTTCCGGCTCATTTTGGCCACAATGGTGGGTTCTCCGCCGGTCGAAATGGGATCCCAAGTGCCTGTAAAAGGGTGCTGAAGGGAGCCGCTGTGAATTTTTGGATTCATCCCAAGGATCTTGGTCCGCAGGGGCAGCAAAAACACGAAATTCAAAGAACTTGAACTCTTTGAAAAATTCGACGTTTCATAGGCGCCAACCCAATATAAAAGGATCTAGAGAAAGTTGTATAGATTTAAATAAGCGATAGTTAGGTAGACAAATATCTGGTTTATACGGCGGATGTAAAAGGGTTTTCTACCAAAGCCTCCCTACTTCCTCGCCAAGCTTTTCTCTCTACAATGCTAGGACGAACATCCTATTGTAAGTGATTGATTGTAGACCGTTTTACTAGTTTCTATTTCTATGAAGAATGGTGTAATGGAGATGAGATGGGATTGCTAGATGTCAGAAGGAAAAACGAGATCTGTCCATCTATTGGCTGTAGAATTGGCAAACTCAGTTCCGGCTCATTTTGGCCACAATGGTGGGTTTTCCGCCAGTCGAAATTGGGATCCCAAGAGCCTATAAAAGGGTGCTGAAGGGAGCCGCTGTGAAGGAATTCAATCTTTAAGGGAAAGATGGAGAAGTGTCATAGATAACAATGGCGATTATATTTTGGATTGAAATTCTATATAAATTGTTCAATATTCTAAAGCCTTTTTTGATCAAAATCCGGATTTCTTATGCATGTATCTAATATTTAAGTGTTCTGCAATAGCCTCAAGTTCTGCAATAGCCTGCAATAGCCTTTTTTATTCTGAAAGTGACAATGAATGTGTTGACAGCTTTTTAGGTTAACGAATGAACAAAAAAGTAAATTCTTAAATAATTGATTTTCTGTTCCTTTTGTCTTAAACATTCCCTCTACTCGAAAAAAGATAGCAGGAAATCCGCGTGTGCTTGTAAACATCTTCTGTTCCTTTTCTCTTGAAAAACTTTCTTTTTTTCTCTAGCTTCACCTCAACAAAACTTCAGAAAATTTCCCTAAATTACCAAAAATTGTGATCTTCATGAACAAACCGGAAAATACAGACCAAAAACTGACAATTCGTTTAAATTTTTGCCCTTTCTGCATAATTATACAGGGAAACTCTCGGCTTTGGAATCAAAAATTGTACTTTGGCCGGAAACTGGCTCAACTGAGAAGTAAAGTTGAGAGTTAATCACAAGCAAAAAACCCCTAATTTTGACGTAAGTAGAAAAGGTGAAAAAAAGCTGGGTGAAAATGGGGAAATTTGTCATATAAAGCCATCGAGAAACAGGGAAATTTCAATCTTTTCTCTTTCCTCAAATACTCCATTTTTCAACTAAACGGTAAATTTTTTGCTCTAATTCTGACTAATTTGCTTGGCCAATTTCCAGATGAAAAAGTTGATGCACACAGAAATTTCTGAGGAATTTGTATTTGTTTCCTGGAAATGTCAACAAAAACTTCCTAGGAAATTCAAAGATTGTTTGTATGAGAACAGAATATTACCGTATCCCTCTCTAATAGTAGTGCGCACCACTATTTTTTGAACCCCCTCCTGGACCGCAATACTATTAGAGAGTGCAGTACTATTAAAGAGTTGTATCATTTACCAAAGTAAGACAGA